AGGCTGTCTGTTGGTGGATTCACTGTTTACTCTGTGATACTGTCATGCATTTAAGGTGTTTTTTAGCCTTCAGTTTGATATGATTATCTTGCAGTGGATTGATTTATTGCTTGCAGCCCTGGGCAAAGCATTCCCCCAGACTTGGTCTTCATTCTATTATGCCAGTTGTATTTAGTTGTTCATTTAAAAATCATTAGTGTTTGCAAAATGCTTGGAAGGATGGAGTGCTCTGAGCTGAAAGTGAGAGGCAAGCAAGGGCACTATTGGTGGTGTGCAAATGCTCTGCCACATGTGACAGGAGTGCCTATGTGTGTGGTATAACTTAGTGGTGCCAGAATTGCTCTGAGTCTCATGCTGATTTGCCTTTGCATGTTTCTGCACAGTTCAGAAAAAGCATCCTGGGAAGGGAGGAGTCCCCACCTTTCTTACTCTATCAGTTAGAAAGACTGTAAAATGCTGCTTCTACTGGCTGTACCTGTGTCCAAAATGTGAGATTTCCACTGCTGGCAGTGCAATTCCCACAGAAAGGCTATCCCGTGGGAGTGTCTTTTTCTAGTTCCTTGATGTGACAGTTACATTTACTTCATTACTTTTTATAAAGGATTTTGGTAAATAGCAATTATAAACTCATTAGTCTCATTATTCTAAATGGAGCAGATAAGTGCATATTTCTTCTGACAAGGATGCATGTAGTAAATGACTGATAAATGGAGTTTAGGAAAGGTTTTGGTTGAGATATTTCATAGTAATTAGTCTACTCAAGAAAATAATTCACTCGGTCGTATTGATGGGAAATTGGAAGCTTCCATTCTATTAATCTATTATGTAATACACTTAGGCATGCTGATTGTGATATTTTGCTTTGAGTGTTTTCTCTAAGCATCTATGATTAAATTGTGCAGTAATGGGCTTAATGATAGCCATTGAAAGAGATGACCTTTTGCAGGCCAGTAAACAGAATGTTTTAACAATCTGAGTCTCTCAGCTCTTGCAAAATTAGGAGAAACTGCCTCATGCAACATACATGAGTAAAGGGATGTGTAAAAAATAGGAGGCATAAAGTCTCTTGTGAAATATGAATCTCTCTTTTCTTGAACTGTGCTGGGTTTTAATGGCTTTGGATTGGCCCGAAGGACAGTCTTCTCATATTTTGATAATTCCTCATCCTTTTAAAACATACCACAGCATCACCTCTGGGAAGTGTAAAGTCATGTCTAATCAAAGAACAGAAACACAGTAAACAGGAGTGATAAAGAATTTTGCAAAATATCCAGCCAGAGGGGAGCCAACTGTTGACAAGGATGGAAAATATTTTTGAGGGGAAAATAATAGAGAGACTATTTGAACAAACAGGCATAGGGAGTGGTCAGCAGTAGATTTAACCCCATTTCCTTCCATTATCTGTCATGTATGGAATACACATTCCTTTACCGCATGTTGTGAGCATGTCCCTGTAGGTCCAGTATGTAGATATATTGACCTTGCTTTTAAGGCTGAGCCTTTTGGTTGATGATTTTGTTGATTTCAAATGGAAGTATTTATATAGGCTTTGCATGAATGGAAAATTTAGGCTTCAGTAATAAAAAATTTCTTGAATTTGAATGCAGGCCTGCCATTTAATTTAGTGGGATTACTGAAAATGGTTTAGACTGGGAATGAAGTAAATGAAGCAGAAACCAAGATGCATATTTACACTGAGGCAAGCAGTTTCATATCTTAGCTTTCTTTCATGGATACATGTGGAGGTAAAAGTCCTTTCCATGGTTCAGTGGAGCATTTGGACTTCAGTATGGTATGAAAGGTGGAATCTGGAAATGGCCTGGAAATCTAGTCTTGGTGCTTTAGCCCATACTGACAGTCTAACAGAAACCCACCCAGCCCCCCAGCCTGACTCCATCCCCTCACATTGGAGAATTGTGTGGATGATCCAGTCAGCCTCTTGCTTCCTTCGGTGGGGCTGTTCATTAGTGTAGGACTGGGGCTCAGTGGGCAGTTAGGAGCTCAGGCTGTAAAGAGACTGAACTGTTGAACATGTGAGAAGACTTTGCGAAATGGGGAAAATGAATATAAATAATTGATTGTAACCAAAATAAAACCCCCCTGGTTTTATTCCTAACAGATTGCTGTGTCCCAAAGGAGGGAGAAAAGGGAAGCTTACATGTTCCATGCGAGACAACCCAGGAGCAGGACACAAGGGACAGCCACAAGGCCATGGCTGATATGGCACTGACCTGATAGATTGCACCTGCTGGTAGAGCTCGGGGCTTGGTGCCCTGTACTGGTACTGGGGTGGTCTCTCCACCAACTACAAAAGCAAAGAGGAGGGTGGGATGGGTCTGCTCCAGCCACAGCACCCAGAGAGCTGCCCCACACAGCCTGAGAGCCCAACAACCCCAGGAAAACACCTAGGATTGAGGTGTCTCTCCCTCTGTTATTTTGATCTTTTACCCAGATAGCTCAGAAGATGCTCCAGCAATTGTTTGTTCCCACCCATGTTGCCACACTTCTCTTCACAGAGAAAAGCAAGGCACAAGGATTTCTGAGATTCACATTCTCTGAACCTTTGGTGCTGAACACTGGGGAGTGCTGACCTCTGGCAGTGCCATGGAAAGTTCCAAATTCACTCCTTGGGGGCAGAGAGCAGGGAGAGAGAGCTGCGCCTTTCTCTGGGAGCAGATGTTTAGGTTTAAAACCCTGTCTTGAATGCCAGAGCGAAGTTCATGCCAAGCTTGGAATTTTTCTAGTGGAGGAGATTCATGGAGCAAGAAGGCAGCAAAAACTCAAGCTGCAGACACAACCTGGATCTGATATATGAGCATGTACTGCTAAAGGCACAGCCAAAACAAAGGCTCACACACGTGCTAAATTTTCACAAACAGCTCAGTGCATTCATCTTGCGTGTATGTGTTTTTGAGTGGCAGTGTTATGCAAAATTACTTTACCCTAAGATAAATAAACAACCACCTTTTTTACTAAAATTTTAATATTGCTGACCTTCTCTGCAAGTATATGTGCTTGTTTAAAAGATTGGTTTTGCTCTTTCCATTCCGGAGACAGCAATATTGGCTATGTAACTACATGTTTGTACACACTTTCTTGACATGGAACAGATATTTTCAAGCTTTTAACAAAGTGATGGAAAGGTCTCCAAAGCCTTTATGGATTGTGAAAACCCATATAACTCAAATTGTGAAAACCTATATAACTCAAACTCATAGACTGTGGACTTTTGTCCTCAAGTAAGTTATTGAATAATATTAAATATTCCTAGGGAAAAAAAAAAAAATCAGTCTTGTGAGCAGACTGCATGTCTTTCAGTCTGAGAATTTTTGGGTGCTGGAAAAATAATTCTAAATGACAGAAAAGGAAGTATTTTTCATTAAAATTTGGAGATTTTTTTCCCTTTCTAATTACATTTATAAAATTAGATATTTGAATTTTTAGTAATTTTTTTGTACAGTTCTGTTTAGATCATTCTAGGGAAATAAAATCAGGGTTTTTCAAATGCATCAGCTAGAGAAAATCTGTTTGCCTGTAAGTGAACTGAATTCAGTAATGAATTATCAATGTGCTTGGCAGGATCCTTAGAATCATCGTATCTTTGATTTGAGATAATTATGTCTGGCAGTGAAATTCAGAGTGCCTGCAAGTCTTAAAATTGCATCTCCTGAACCCCCCTTGCTGCTCCTCTGCTCTGGGAAGATAAACTGGGGGGGTGGGTCTTGCTCTCCAAACCCTCAGAACTCTCAGTCTCTGGAATTCTTTCTGGGAATTCCGCTGGATGGCAGCATTTTTCCGTGCAACTCTGCAGAGAGGCAGGCGGGGAAAGGATCATTAAAAGGAAAAAAACTATTAAAGGAAAAAAAAAAAAAATAAAGTGAGCGGGGAAGGAAGACGAAGCCAAGTTGAAGGTTGCTACTTTGAAGACCAGCATGCATCTCTGCTTCAGTGTAACTTATGCAAATCTCCAGTATTTGCCTCTCTTCTTTTAATTCCCTGGCAGATAGGATACATAAATTGAAATGAGGAATTCAAAGGAAGGATCTGAGTTTTTTTTTTTTTCCCTCTTTTGGTACTTTTCTGCTTACAGAGATCTATTCTAAAGTGGGAAGGTGGCTCATGTTTCTGAGAAGATGAGCAGTGTTTGTGAGTTTTCTCCATTCTCTTTCTTAACTATTACAGGCAATACTTTTTTTGGCTATTTAGTATTATGCTTCAGAAAGCAAGTGGACTTTCTTGTGTTGTGGTTTGCTCAGGCACCTATATGCACAACCTCCAAACAAGCAACTGAGTTCATTTCCATCAGAGCTTGGACTTACCTTGTGAATGATGTGATACCTTCTCTCCCACTCTTGGCACATATGGAGAGCATGATGGTCCTCTTCTTTCTTTCTCTGTGCTTTGGGAAAAATATCTTCACTATGTCCTTCTTCCAGCATCCCCTTGGATATATCACAAGCTGTTACCAAAAATGACCCAAACTCCTGACTTTGGGTCCATGGCAGCAGGTCCTTTGTGGCTGATTCGTGGTTTGCCTTCCAAAGCTGACCCAGCTTCTGCCCAGCTGTGTTTAGCTTTTCTGTGAGCTCCCCATCAGGTTATGAGTTGGAAGGCAGCATACAAACTAGGACAGAGCTCAAGCTAGTAAGCTTAACAACGGATCAGGAAAATAGCTTGTCATAAACTCTGTATTATATTCCACTGAAGACTTATGCAGAGAGATATATGTAACCTTCAGTTGTGTCTGTTTTTTATATATATATATGTATGTATTTATACACACATCCATCCATCTATCTATCTATCTATCTATCTATCTATCTATCTATCTATCTATCTACCTAGCTGTGTGTCTATATAACTCAAAAACAATGGATCACATATCCACTGCCAACCAGGCAATGGGAAAATAAGTAGCCTCATGAGGAATTAGCAAAGTTTCATTCTTTAGAGGTTTTATATACATATATTTTTTTTTTCCTCTCTGTATCTTCTTGTAGTTAGGAAGATGACATGTGCACTAGACCAGAGGGGAAAAATGGCAACAGTCAGATCAGTTCTGCTGGCCATGACATGAAGTGGAAATGGGTGTCCCTAATTATGGGTATTTCAGTATATATGGTCTTCTCTAGCTTAAATCCAAGCTAACTTACTCACAGATCCTTGGAGCACAATTCACTTACTTCTCTTTGGAGAGCTAGAGCTCATGGTCAGTATTAGAGAAAGGGCTCTTACACTGTTTCAGGGCTTGTTGTTTTGTTTTTGCTGTAGCTCCCCCCATCCCTCACCATGGGCTATGCTTGAAAAAAATTTGATGTTAGATAATGTGGTTTCATTTGGGAAAGGTTAGTGGTTTAAAGGAATGCCACTGTTTAGTTCTTCAAGGGGTATTGAAAGGTCAGAGAGGGGAAATAAATTGTCCTTCCATGCAAAAATTTTGATTTGATTTTTATTAATTTTACTGTTTTCCTGTAAGTTAGCTTTGCATAGCCAGTCTCTGATACTGCAAGTGTACACTACTGACTGGTGTCTGCCAAATGCTCACCCCTTTACCTCCTCAGAAAGGCTGTTTCTTCATCATGGATAGCTACCCTATTTTAAACAAAGCTCTGCACATATTACTGGTTTCCAGTTTATGCTACTTTGTCTCTTGTGGGGGTACCACCACTAGCATTACTGCTGAGCATTTAAGACTGCCAGCTTAGATTCTTGAGCTCCTTTTGTTTTCTCCTTCTCATCCTCTGGCATATATTTGGTCTCATTTAATTTCTGCTGTCCTTGACCTTCCCTCCAAACATTCACATTGAGCTGGCCACATGTTATTCTGCTCTGACCTTATCTGGGCAGCTCTAGAATCACAAATAGCAGAGAGAGATCATGCTGCAAATGCCCTTGACAGAGTGACTCTTGATCCTTAGCATGAAAGGAGGAATGGGTAACATAAGAATATGAGTACCAGCTCTAAAAGGAAGAACACTGCAATGCATTTCAGGTCTTCTAAATACAAAGAACAGCCTGGGCATTTATAATTTTTTTTTTTTTTTTATTATTTTTAATAGAGATGTCCCTTGAGAATAGGGAAGCCTTTGAATGATGTGTCTGCTGTGCTGCCCAACAACAATACTGAGAGCTGGATGACACTGTTGGTGACCTTCAGCTTCTAAAGCACAAGCAAATAATACAAGGCTATTCCTGTGCCACAATATGCCCTGACTATTGCATGGCTTGACTTGCTTTCTGAAACACCAACCAGCTGATTTCTGAGGGAAACAATGAGAGGCTGACAAGTCCTGGGCATTAAGACAGCTTAATGGGTCCCTGGCTGTTACACCCCGAGAGCAGGGTGGGCTGCTAGAGCCAAAATTAATCATGTTTTGGCTGGGCCATTTATAGAAGTGTGGTTTGTGGTGAAAATAAAATATCAAATTAATGAGAATTGTAAAGCTGTAGAGTTAAAAAATCTCTGTTTGTCTGTATAGTGCAAACCTGGTCTGTGAGGTGAAAATAAAAAGTACTGATACATACATGTGTTAAAGGTTGTGGTTGATGTTTAGGGATCAAAATTATAAACCAGTATACTGGACATTTTAAGAGAAAAATAAATTATGCTCTGTGTAAATGAATAGAACATTATTTCTGTCCTCCATGATGTCTTATAAAACAGGTGAATTTGCTCACAGGTTTTCAAAGATGGCTCCCCCTCTCTTCATCTTCCACCTGTTATGTTAGGGAAGTGCATGTTGGTGCCTTGCTTGCAAGGCTGCTCAGGAAAAACCTAAGTGTAAAAGCAAGTGACTTCAAAATACTGTAGGCTTTAATTATAGCAGCACAGCTTCAGGTCTCAGAGAGCTGTCCCTGGGAGGATGCATGCAGTCAATACTGTCTAGACACTGTACACTAAGTACAAGTGTGATATGGTTAATATTTTTGAAGCAGACTCCTCTACTGTTAGTGATCTGCTTTCCATGCCATGGTTAAGCCAGGGTTAGTGGCATGTACTGAGTTCACCTGAGTGCTCCCTGCTGGACTGGATTATAGTTGTCCAGTTTGGTGTCATATTCATAGACTGGTGATGTACAACACTTTGGAGCAGGGCAAAACCCTGTCTGTACCCCTTGTGAGCAGGGACGCTGAGCAGCCTCAGAACTGACCAGTGTAATGCCTTGGCAAGTTTAGGTTTCTGGCACTGGATACTGTGTCATTTGCACCCTGGTTTATCAGCCAGGAAATCATGTATGGGATAATGTCTCTTGTTATGAGGCAGTGTGAGGTAGTTCTCCTGTTTTTTCCAGATTATTTATCGGTCAAGGTGTGTTTGTGTACTAGTATGTAGGCAGAAACTGGTAAAGCACTTGTATTTGCTTTATTTTTGTTTTCTATGTGTTTTGTTTTTCTCAGTTGTGTGCAAGATAGAAGCAGAAGAGACAAGTATTCTGAAATAGTAAAAAAATGTAAACAGGAAAGAAATCCATATATTAAAAAAATCCAATATAACCATAATTTTACTTCCTATTTGTCTTTCTTGTTTTTATGTATAAGTATTTAATTGTCTGCATCTAAGCATATCCACCTTCTAAAGGTTTTCTGGAGTAGAAATCCTATTTACTGATCTTTAACATCTCTCCACTCCTGTTTTAATACACAGGTACGCTAGCAAACATCCTAACATGCAAACATTGCAACTAGGATTTACAAAGTCATTAGCAGAATAGAGATGAGAAATATAAAGTCTGAGCAGGGAAGGTACTGTTACAGAATTTACAACTTGCTTCCCCTCATCCTTGCTGCTTCATTTTAAATTACAAACAAAACAAAAAAACCCAAAGCAAAAGAAAATAAAAAACCCAAACCAAAAAATCCTGATGATTCTGATGAGGCCTGACTCATGACTTTGACAAAGCAAAGTAAACTACACTGGAGCAAGGAGGAGGGTTTCTCATAGCATTTTCCCTATTCCTGGGGCCCAGGCATCCTTGTCTGCCAAGGACACTGCTCTCCCCTTGCAACCACCTTGAGCCAAATTGCAGAGCCTGGCAGCTCCCAGAACCCTTCACAGTGTGCAGCAGAAGTGATGTTACAAAATGCCTGGTGCTCCTGCTCTTAGTGCTAGATGATGCTCTTTGCACCTAACACATTTTTCTTCATTTCATAACCTTTTTCTTTAAACTCAGTCAAAAAAGTACTGAAGTGACAGCTGACCTCTGTGGTTTTATGCAAAGGCAGAGGTGTCTTGTGTGGCCCCTTTACAGTCCAGCTGCAGTCTGTGCCAGAGAGTAAATCAATAAATGCACAGCTGTAGTAGCAGAGCAGGCACAAATTCTGTCACTCATTTTCAATTTCTGTTTGCAGAAAATTCCTGTAATAGTCAATTTTCCCAACCCCACTGGCCTCCCTCTTTCACTCCCTTTCTGAAAAAAGGAAGAGAGGGGTTTGGAGCTTGCTGAGAAAGATTTGTTAGAGTGGAAAATGTCTGTGGCCAGTGGCTGGGAAGAAAGTACAAGTGGGGGCTGCCCCTTGTGCTGCTCTCTGTGCAGAGGTGCAGCCACTGTGCAGCTCTTCAGAAGCTGTCCTGGAGGTAACACTACAAGATGAAATATCTGTCAGCCTCACTTGGGCTCCTAAGCCTGCAATAGCTGTCGGCGACTAGTGAGAGACAAATTACATGTTTTTCCAGTGCTGTCCTTTATAACAATTATGCCTTAACAGTGGGAGGAAAGGGGATAGTTGGAAGTAGGTCTAATCCCAAAGGGATGGTTCATTTCCTCTGACTACCACACTTGCCAGTAGCTCTGTTCTTCCCTCGGCCTCCCTCCCTCCTCCTTTCTCTTTCCCCTCTCCTCACTCCTTGGCAAAGTTACCTTTGCAGTCATGGCCTGCTCATGGCAAGGATTAATGGTTTATTGGAGTTTGCAAGCCTTACAGTAGTGGGGCACATATTCCTATGAATTTTATTGCAATGCACCACAGTATATAATTTCATTAAGCTGCACATGTCATGGTTATTTGCCATTATTCCCAAGCCCTTTATGTGCAGTTTTATCAGTCTCAAATGGCAAGGAAATAAAAAATGAAATAAAATAGAATAATGCCTAATACATGCAGAGAGGTCAAGGGACCCTATATGCTGACTACAACAACAAATTTATCATCTCATTTATGGGTGGGAAGGGGAAGGGAGCAATTTCTTCACTCTATTTTAATTAACTGGGTTTCACTGCACGGTAGTAAAGATAATAACCATAACATTAGTGCAACTACTACACTATCAAATGCTTGTCACAGCCTAATATTCTCCAACAATATGGCTTCACAATGGAAACATGCACAACAAAAGAGCAGCTTGTTTTGTTAATTTACTGGAGCCCTGTGTTTTTGGAAGGCCTGTATATATTTCTGCAAGCCTGATTAAAATAGAAAGAAGTGTACATAGTGGAGAATAATATTTTTACTGGTGTGGGATTCATTTAACAAAAGTGTTCCTTCAGGAAAACAGAACCAAGATGCTAATGTTATACCTCATTTATTGCCAGCATATTCAGTGACATTTCATAATGTACATCTGTCAGCCAGAGATATAAATGAATGAGGTGAACCATGCAATTTACCCTCAGGAAGTTCCATTAGAGCCCCCAAAGTATAATATTTATAAGGTCAGAATCAATTAATCAGATAGCTGTATTTGCTTTTCAGCTCAGCATGCTCTTCTGCACCAAGCTGTTGCATTGAGAAAGTCTTTCCTATTTGATAAGAGGAGTCAGTTTGTATGTGCTGCATGTAGTCTGTTTTGTAAATCAATTGCTTTCCTCACACAGCTTATACTCTATACAAATACAATCTGTAAATTAAGGGACTGAAAAACAAGTCTCTCTCAAAATACACACCAGAACAGAAGACTTGTGTGTTTCCTGCTCCTTGCTGTAGCCTCTTGCAAATCTGTTGAAAATAAGGAAAAAAAAAAACTGGGAGTAAATGGTGTACTTTTAACAAATATGTTTCCAGTAAACAGAAAGTCTTGTGGGGAAAGTAAAAAATTGTTAATTGTTAAAACTCTAAAGCTACTGATTTGATCAAAGGAGCTCACTCAACTTTGTGAAGAAAGTTGAGCGAGTTCCATCTCAGTATATTTTGAGATGCTTTACAAAAATGGTTTTCCTTTGCAACCATGTTCTCAATGTTCACCACTTTAATTTCCCCTTCTTGGTTAGATGAACCATTGGTTTATCCCTGTGAAAATGTGTCTCCTATCATTTTTGTTATAAATTGCAGTCATTCCCTGGGCTATTTTCAGATGTGTTGGGAACTTTTCCTGGCATTCTGACACCAGTGAAAGAGCAGGCTCATGGCTGCCAGAGCTCCTGGAAGGTGCAGGTGCAGCCTGCAGGTGTGTACTCACCACTCCAGGTGTGTACTCCTGATTCCTAAATGGAGCCTTTCCTGTAAAAGGATTTTTAAAAACTTAATTTTAATTTTGATCATATTGTGACTTTCTTTTGTTTTCTTTCCCCCCCTTTTTTTTGTAGGCAACAGATGCAAAATATAAATTCTGATAGTAAAATCTGTGTGAATATGTTTTCACTGTCATAAATGATGCCAAGATATGATCCAGCATTTCTTTGTTTCTTTGTAAGTAAGTTTATTTAAGATGGTTCAAAAATTACCTGTTATCTAGTAAAATTACTTTTCTCTGAACATTCCTCAATGTTCACTTTCACTTTCAAGGATGAAAGTGAAAGCAGGAAGGGCACATCTGAAATCACTTGTAGAATTATTACAAGCAAGGAATTAGCTAGGAAAAAGTCCCAGAACAATGCTTTGCCTTCACAGTTTATGATTAATATCCATAACAACTAACAGTTTGTACTTAAAGCTTCTCATTTTATTGTGGGGGGTTGAATAGCTCATACTTCAGATTTGGTCTTTTGCTCTTGAAGAAAGTGGATGGCAAGACAAAATGGGTTTTCTTTTTGACCAAAACTACTGTCAGAAAGTGCTGATACATCCCAAAACCAATACCTCCCAGAGTGGGTGCTCTGAGCAACAGAGGAAGGAGGGATGAGGTCCCTGTGTATCACATAACCCCGTGTAAGTACTCACTTCAGAAATAAAGAGCAATGCCCAACACCCCTCAGAAAGCCAGGAGACTGGTTTGGAAGAGGAGTTGATCCTAAACACTGTGGGTAAGTGCACTCAATTCACTTCTGGCCAAAGGGAGAGTGGGAGGGAAGAAGTTGAACAGTTTCAGTAGCTGAGTGTGACAGAGCTATCAGCCACAGAAGAGATCAGTGAGCTGATTTATCAGGAACATATAAAAATGAGTTTGAATACTTGTTTTATTGACATTGATACCAGTGACTTCAATGCTGTTGTTTCCATTCCCAAGCGAGCATCCCAACCATCACTTAGGGGGTTTCCCATTTCTTTCTGGGCTCTTGAGCATCGGAATGAAACAGATGACAAAACCCTGAAGCCCAAATCTGCCTGCCTGTGTGGCAGCAGAAAGCAGAGCTAGCTGTTGAGGCATTCTCCACTGTGGTAGATGTGACTGTCTTAATGAAGCAGCCAGCTTATCAGGAAATACAGTATTTTTATAAGTGTGGTGTGTGCAGAGTCTGATTTGTGTATATTTATTCTCGCTACATAGTTGTATCAAGGCACTGTGAACATCGTGGTTTTGTTTGCTTGATTTTATTCTCTCTGGGCTAGTGAGCATCATTGGTGCCATATCACTGACCAGCTGGAATTCATGATATTTTTCTGCTGTGTGATTTTGCTACTGAAGCCTTGTA